TGTGAATGAAGTTGGGTACGCGAATTTATTAACTAATCATTCAGGTACTCAGTATTGGTAAACATGACATTGAGTTTAAATATCTCACTACGATGTAAGTCTCATACACAAAATGAAGATTATGATAAAAAAATGATTTAAAATGAGAAATTTTTCAATTTAAATGTAAAATAGCAGTAAAATGAAAAATAAATGTAAAATTACATCACAGTTATGTATGAAAACTACATAAATTCATTAAAAAAATAGTTATTTTATCTGGTTGTAAAGAGTGTTTTCCGCCATATAACGTATTAACGTGTATAATTCTGACACAACGCTATAGCACAATTTGCCACTTCCGCCTAGGTATAATAGCAAATTAACAACAGAAATCAAATCAAACTGTTGATGCAACGAAAGTAAACAAACGCCAAGAACTAACGCTGTCACCCACATGACGTCATGCGTATGTGGCATAACTTTCCCTCATGCGCATCGCTTCTTGGCCCCCTTTATTATTGGTTGCCTAGCGTCAAAATGGGAAATTTGGTTATGTAGCCTATTCTTCTAAAACGACGTTTTGTCGCTGCCTCCCCCCCCAATTCCATTTTTTTTCGGTTTCGGATTATTTGGTTACGGCAATGCACACTAGGGCTATTGCCTAAGAAAAGGGATGCCTTCGTGGAGGACACTTTTTAAAGTAATCTGGCTCATATGCAAGTTACACATGGGGAAAACCACGAAAACGTCCGTGCAGCCAGCCATTAGCCGGGAATTGAACCCCGGACCGAACTATTAGTCTTCAGCGACTTTACCGCTCGAGAGCTGGTGGGCTCTTCGCTGTTTGAAAATAGGTGTTCACTTTACGATAAAGCAAGCACCTGTTTTCTTCAATTAAAACAGATTAGACGATATGACTCTTACTACTTCATTCTCACTTAGCTTTTGATTTCTAATATTGATTCAATATTTTCTGTAGACATTCTGATTAGAATAATGGATTTCAAACATGTGCAAAAGGTTGTGTATCTGAATATAATTAGGTTTTTATAACATAGGGCCCATTTTATTAATTTCTAAAGCAATAGAACCACAGTATCGCTGTTTTGAAAGAAAGCAAAAATGTGACAAATGTATAATGAACATTAATATACATGCTTTACTAGAAATTCACCCTTTCGTCATTAGCGGTTCTGATGAAAGGAATGGGGAGAAGCAGCGAACGAAATAACGAATAACTGACAAATAACGAAATCTAATCTTTAATGCTGTCTCCCAGTTTCTTTAGCCCACCAGCGGCCGAGCGGTAAAGTCGTTGAACACTGGTAGTTCGGTCCGAATCCCGCGAAAGGGCTGGATGCATGGGTGTTTTCGTGGTTTTCCCCATGTGTAACGTGTATACGAGCCATTTCCCTTAGAAAGTCCTCCACGAAGGCATCCCTCCCTTTAGGCAGATAGCCCTAGTGTGCTTTGCCATAATTAAATACACCAACACCAACCCAGTTTCTTTATTTGTATTTGGGAAAGTTTTATTGTCATTATGAAAAGTGAAATTTGATATGGATACCACATAACTTTTTAAATTATGCTTATTTTTGCTGCACTTCATTTAAACTTATTTCCTCGAATTATTCTAACTTAATTAAGCGATACCCGAAGGCAAGTTACAAATGGCATCAAACACTGCAAATTTTGAAATTAAATTTCCCGGTCAATCTCTGTCTACGGGACTCAAACTTCTTGTATTTTTATTTTTTCATAACGAGTATAAAACTTTGCCAGCTATAAATATAGGAACCAGAAGACAACATTAAAAGTTAGATTTCATAATTTGTCCAAAATTAATTCTTTTTAAAATTTGACATTGACAAAATATGAATATTTTCGTCATTTAAAATACTTCTGTATTTTTGTTGCACCGTATTTAAACTTGCTTCTTCGAGTTATTGACATTAAATTACATTAATTCCGTTATCTATTAGAAAATAATTATAGCAAATCATCTAATTACGACATCTCTAAGAGGTCACTTTCTAAGAGATCTGTATTTTTGAGAACATAAACAAACATTGGTAGTGAACATCACCTTTTTAAGACCACGACATGTAAAATCCTCTAAAAAGCATGAATGGTTGCATTTAAAGAGGACCCATTACTTTTAATAAAGAATGTAACATTAATGTTAATTATACATGTTTTTGGTGTGTGTGCCAAAATAGTGATACCGTGGTTCTGTTGCTTTAGAAATGTGTGAAATTAAAAAAATGGATACTATATAACAAAAATGTTATTATATTCAGATACAACACCTTCTGAACACGTCTGAAATTCATTCTTCTGCTCAGCATAATTCGTCTGCATAAAATAATAAATAGTATTAGAAATCAAAAGCTAAGTCGAAGTAGAAACAGTCATCTCTTCTAAACCATTTTAATTGAAGTAAACAGACGTTCGTCTTATCGTAAAGTAAACACCTATTTTTCAAACAGCGGATAAAACGGGAAAGAGGGAATTGGTGGGGGAAGGCAGCGAACGAAATGACACTTTTTGAAGCTGGGATGAAATGAGAAAGGACGAAAAGGTACTAAGCCAATAAGACAAGGTCTGGTATTTTACTTTATAATTTAACTATTCATCATAAATTTAAGAATTATTTTAATTTTTATTTATTTTACATTTTTACTTTAATTATTCATTATTTTAATCACTATTTTTTATTATTTTAATTATTAAGTTTTTAATAAGTAATTTTTATTATTTTAATTAATGTTATTATTTATTTTATTTATTTTTTATTTTATTTATTTTTTCCTATTTTCCTGACGGCCTTCCGTAGGCGCTTCTGACTTTTGTGACACCACAAAAGGAGGTGAATTATTTCCATCCAAAAATACGACGCAAAACTCCCTATCGCATAGGGCCGTAGATATAGGCTCAGGATATACCGATTTTTACCGAAAGTAACGAGTAACGATACGATAGTAACGAGTACTGGTTTATCGCACAATTTCTCGTTTTCCTTATACCAGGCTGAATCATCAGGCATTCGCTATCCCAAGTGGGAGATTAAATGGCGGCTGTGTAGTTACGGTGCAACAATTTTTTGTGTTTTTTTTTGTGTAAAATGGGCGGATGTGCAGCTATTAATTGTTCAAATCATTCACGGAAAGGTCATACATTGGTAAAATTTCCTAAAAATGAAGAAAGAAGAAAAATATGGGTAAATAATTGCCGAAGAGACAATTGGAAACCTGGTCCAAGCGCTGAAATTTGCTTAGTAAGTATAATGTTAATTACGCCTTGATTTAGAGTTTATATCTTCTCTGATGTTTATAATGTGCAAGAAAAATGAAATTCTTGTGTACAATAACCTGAGTATCTGCTAATTTCTGTAATAATAGCTATAATTAAATTAGTCTAGGGTTAATGTACCCGTCGCCAAACATCGCCAATGTGGATGTTTTGAATGTGGAAAAGAAATTTCTCTTCTAATATAAAGCGCAAATTTTGTTTTCCTGTGCTAATTGTGGAAATTATACTAATGTAACATGAAAATCATTAGCATATTGAAATTTATTAAAAAATAAATCAATAATTTGGAAAGTCAAGATAAAATCTGAATGTTTGCTAAAGATATATGTAACATTATACTATAGTTGCAATATCGTTGGAATGATATATAATTTTTTTCTTTATTTTATAATCACTATTGTTAAAAAGTTAGATGAGTTTTTATGCACGGTGCCCACTAATGTTTCTTGGTTAAAATAACTTCCAGAATTTTGACATTGACATCTGAAGTCAATAGAATAAATTGAATAGTATGAGACAAAATATATATAAATCTGACTTCAATAATTGCAAGTACCATATATTTATAATCACAGTATTATACAATTTGGCAATGGAGTAAAGATTTAGAAATGAATGCAGAACATTCAAATAAGCACAGAAAACTTGTGAAACTGCATGTGTATTTTTCAAAAATAATTGTAGTGTTTTTAATGCATGTGTAGTGTTTAATGCATGCATAACAATCAAATAAATCTGCCTGTAATGATGAATTTCAAAGGCCAAGCCAAAATCCTTTCATGAATTTGATACTTCTAAAGAATGTGATCTCGTCAAATTAAATCCTCATGACATTGATAAACAGTTATTACTGATATGTGTTACAAAACAGATTTTTATACATGATAAATAATATTTTCTGAAGCGTTATTTGTGTTTGTCATCTCTAAATAAGAAATTGCCTACAAATTCAGAAAGCTACTGAACTACGTTCTAGAGTTTTTAATAACTTTAATTGGATATGTCTGTGCCGGATGTAATTTAAAAAATTGTCGTTTAAACTGGCCTTGATGCTTTTTAAAATGCATGTTGGCACTGTGCTTCCGAAATTAGGGCCTATGTTTTGAATGATTAGAGAATTAAAAATTAAATATTTCAATTAGAGCAATAAACATTACTACAATTATAACAAGAATCATAGTCTGCTCTAATTATAAATGTATTTATCGGCCTAGTATCTTAAAAGTTGGGTGAAGTGAACTCATATTTTCTTATCTATTGTAAGAGCACTATAGCAAGAAATATAAAGTTTTATTTTAGTTGTTTTTAATTTTATAGCAAAACACTACTTCATTTAATTTTTGGATAATGTTCTAAAGAACACTTTAAATTATAGGCAAAAAATAAATATTGGATAATTAAATTCTGCCCAAGCTTACAAGATGCTGCTGCTGATATGTTAGACATGGTTTGTTTATTGTTTCAGTTTTTTATAATACTGGGCCTAATTTAATTACCTGCATATTTATTTATTGCCTATACTTACTTACAGTTCATGCTTGCTGCCTTTGGCACAACCTCACTGTGTGAAACACTTTTCTCACATTTCTTTCGTGTGGTTTGTTTTTTGTACTTTTATTTATTTTGTATACTTTTTTTTATTACTTTATGTATTTACAGGATCATTTTGAGGAATCTCAATTTGAGTCACTATGCAAAGATAGTTCAAAAACTAAGAAAAACTGCAGTACCAACACTCTTTAGCATTCCAAATCCACCACCATCTGTAACTGACAAGAGGATAAGAGAAGTAAGATGTCCTAAGCCAAATACTGAAGTGGTAAATTATTTAATATTCTCCAAAAAAATTGTTGAAAAAATCATTGTTATTACAAATATATTAATTCATCCAACCATTGTTTAAAAAAATAATCACAGCATAACATGTTTACTATTTCTTTTTGAATTTAGGAAACTCTACCTGCTTCAAATGAAGAGTTGTTAAAAAAAAAATAGAATTCCTTGAGCAACAGCTTCAAGAAAAAGATGCAAAATTGACATCATTTTTGTCCGATGAGCAAGTAGGAGCCCTTGCTGTGCAGTCAAAAAGGAACTGGTCAGAAAAGTCCATTATAAAAGGACTGAAGATGCGATTTGCTTTGGGCAAACATGGATATAATTACCTCAGAAGTACTGGATATCCAGCACCATCGTACAGTACCTTGAACAGGAGGATTAGGGAAATAAAAATTAAATTTCGGCATTTTAGAAAATTTGTTTTTTTTCCTCAAGACAAAAGTTCATTCATTGGATGCTCTTGATAGGAACTGCTGCCTTTTAGTTGACGAAATGGAAATAGCTTCATATCAAGATTTTGATACATCGTCTAAGTCATTCATTGGAAATGTTACGTTAGGAAGCTAAGCATTACACTATTGTAATGCTTAGAGGCCTTAAAACATCATGGAAACAGATTGTTGCCAATGAATTAACAGGGCCTTCAACATCAGGTTCTGACATGAAAGATCTAATTCATAGAACTGTAGTAGCAGCTACAGAAATAGGTTTAACTGTAAGAGCCTCTGTTTCAGATATGGGAAGCAATAACAGAGCAATGTGGTCGTCATTGGATGTGTCTGTCTCTAGGACAGATAGGAAGACAAATTACAACATTGGAGGACCTGATGTTTTCATTCACAGTATTGCAGATGTACCACATCTCATTAAAAACATATGAGAAATGCATTTCTTTCAAGTATTATAATATTACCAGAGGAATTTCGCCAGCAGCATGCCTTGCCATCGAGGATAGTATCTTCAGTGTATGTGAAACGACTCTGGTCAAGTGAGATAGAATCAGATGCTGCCCTGAGATCTCTACATCACTTGAACAGAGTTCATCTCTTCCCAACACACTTTTCCTCGATGAATGTGGCATCTGCTGTGCAATTGTTTTCTGTAAAAACAGCTGCTGCTATTGAAAAAGCAGTTATTTTACACCAAGTTGCAAAAGAAGCATTAACTTCTGCATGGTGGCTGAGACTTGTAGCAGAATGGTTTACAATTATGACTGCAAGGCATCCAAAAAAAGGCATCACTATCAAAAATCAAGATGAGAAATTTAATATTTTATTGAAATTCATTCATGTGACTGAAACTGTTCAGTTTGGGAAAGCATGGAAGCCATTTCAAACTGGCATTATTATGAGCACATTGAGTGTTGTGAAACTCTCAAAAGAATTATTTTCCGAGGGGTTTACATTTTTCTTACCAGGCAGGTTGACACAAGATGCGCTGGAAAATGCCTTTTCACAGATTAGACGAAAGTCGGGTGCAAAGCCTACTGCTTTGCAAGCCAAGAGAGCACTGAAATTAGTGTGTGCCTATCACAGTTCATTTCAGATATCAATAATCCAAATTATTGTTCTGAAAGTGACCACAGCCTCTTTGATGCTTCTGAATTAGAGGTTGCTATCAGAAAGGAGGTCTTGCATCCTATCTCCAATTCTGTAGTGCCATCTACCTCTTCTGCAGTGGCAGTGAAACGTCGCTTGCCCCCAGCTGTGGAAGAAAATGATATACATTACATCGCAGGAGCCATATATAATAAGTTGTTGAAAAAAAAAAGCATATGTGAAAATTGTAAAACAGCTATGACCATTTCAGAGGACATGCTGGAACCTGACATACCCGAGCATCGCACAATTCTTACAAAACATAGCAATAAAGGTGGACTGAAGGTCATCTCTTCAGGAATGTATCGAATATGTAGGGAAGCTGAACGAGAATTTCAAAAATGTAAAGATGTACTCCTTCGTTTACAATCAGCCATCACAAAAGAATTAGTTGAAAGAATAATTGATAAATGTACGCATGTGGCCATGCCAGAATGCTGTAATCTTAAGAAAGTAATTATTGATAATTTTTTTATTACTAGATGCAAAGGCCTTACACAGCATCTTATCAACAAAAGAGCCCATAACGTTTCATATTCATCAGCATCGGCCAATAAGAAACAAAAAGTAAAATAATTTTAGAAGGTATGTATGTTTTATATTAAATAATTTATGTGTTTTATGTAATATGTATTACTTTTTCCTAGGCTATGAGTATATTATTATGGTATTATTTTCTTGTTTCTAATATATAGAAATATAGCATATTTTCCAGTATAAAATTTCAGTTAAGTTTTACTTAAAAGTATGGGAAAGCAGATTTGTTTCATGCATGATCTTTATAATACTGGTATGAAATGAATGAATTTTAATCTGTAAACAATTTTTTGTTAATATTGAAATGTGTTTCTTTGGGTACATTTTTAGGCACTTGTGGATCATGTCAGACAACATGCAATAGAAAAAAGATGTCCGTGTGCATAAATTTTCCCATTGTGTTACTTCATTTTATCTAAATTTCAAGGATAATTCTTTTCATTTTTATATGGCATGTTATCAGTATAAAGGCTAGTGAAAATAAATTGGTATGTGTATCTGTTTTTGAAGTGTAATGCTTAAATAAAAAGATGGTGTGTGTTTTCTTCATTTAAACAAAAATTTCAAGGATAGTATTTTTCAGCGTTGTACTGTTTGTTATTTCTCAATGTAAAGGGTAACAAGGGGAAAAAAACTGGTATGGTACATCTGTTTTTTAAGCATGATAATTTTATTTATTTCTTTAGTGATGCATATATATAGAGAGAGAAGGTATTTGGTCCAACTGAAGTTATAATAAATCTAATTTTACTAGATCTCTCCCTCCCCTCAGGTGTAGAAAATTTTCAAATGCAGAAAGTTTATTTGCAGAATTAATTCATTTCTGATAAACTTATTATCATTAATTTTTTATATAACATGTTATTAAGTTACACGTATTTGACTACTGTGTAATAAACTTGTATTTAGGGCAAAAAATTAACTATTTTGCAGCTGGTGACTAATATCATATGCTTCTAAGAATATTACTTTAACTTTTTTCATAATTTTTGTATTTCAGGAACATGAAACTGTTATTTTGATATACTTAAATAATAAAAGTGTGTATCTGAATCAATTAATGGATACAAATATTTTACAGTTATTTTTAGAAGATATTTGCCATATCGCTTCTAATAATTCATAAAGTATGTTAAAATATAGGTAAATAATTTGGTGCAGAATTCAAATTTAGGGTTTGAAATATAGTGAATCATGAGACTAAATGATTTTTATTGTCATGATTTGCCTGGGCTTAAGAATGTACTTTTCGCCCGGTGGAAATTGTCATCAAACTGTCCTGAACAGGCTTTTTGTTGATAATAACTTCCAGGCTTATCAGTACCTCCTTTTGAGTGGAGGGTATACAAATATAGTACCCAATTTAAATTACATTGTGATTGTAATAATATTGTGGTATTAAATAAGTGATTATAATTACAATTTAGATAATTGCATTGTAATTATATTACATTGTATCTGTGAACTCTTAATTTCATTACTTTATGCAATTATGTTGTAAGTGCATAATCTAATTGCAATAATATAATCTATTCACAATTACAAAATAATTATAAATGCAGTTACATCTTAAATAGAGGCCATTTTAATACTTTTAAATTTTTGCAAGATAACTTCCCATTAAGGTTCATTTGGAGGAAACTATGCAAATACTAAAAAAGAAGTTATGCTAAATTTACATATTTTGTACAGTAGTTTCTTGTTATAATGCTGTTCAATATATCTTCAATACTTTTGTAAATTTAACGACATTCTTTGCAATCACTGTGGTGCTTTAAAAAGAAGTTTCTTAGTTATGCTTTCTAATAAGAATGTGTTAAAAATTAAGTATTATGTATAATAACTAGCAATTAAAAAAACTTGACTGCATGAAAATGCTGTTGCTGTGTAAAATAAAAAAAGCTTTCTTTTATGCTTTGAAATGAATTACATGTGGTTAAGTCGTCCTTTTACAATTTAAGAATGTGGTTAACACACATTCTTAAATTGGACAGGTTTTATCTAAATTATTAGTATAAAATATATAAACTATGAATTATTTTGTAACATAACTCAAATTACAAAATTCATTCTATATACGTTCAAATTTATTATCTTTTATGGAATAACTGTTTTTTAATTTAGGTAAAAATTGGATTTTTAGAAGTATTACAAATACAATGCAACACAAAGGTGATCTGATTGGAGAGGAAGGACTTTTTATTACGGTTTCTAGTTCGTATTTATATTACATTTGGTGAAAAGTCATCCAAAACACAGAATGCTGTACTTTCTTCTTCCATATATGTTATGAAATATTTCACACATTTAAAAGAAAGTGTTTCTTCAGAGTCTTGCACAATTATTTCCATATACCTCAGACTAAAATGACAACATATTCTTAAGTTATTTTTTTAGTATGAATTTACAGTGTTTTTATGGAAATTTTTGTTAAAATGTCATTAAGATAAATTTATTTGCACACTCTACGCTTTAACTATTTCCCCATTTGACACTATTGAAAGTTTTTATTCATATCTTATTTATTTTAGTCTGCTAACGAAAACTGAAACATCTAAAGAATAAGTTATTTTGAATATGTTTACAAAATATACGCGAAATTTTTATTTAAGTGAAAACGTCTATATACTATTCGAGAATTAATAAATTATCCGAAAAGTTTATGTGCGCTGAATGCCGCGCGTCTATAAAATAAATCTTTAAAAAAAAAACAGCAGACATTCAGCCAGCGTGTGCGATAAACGCGCCAAAATTGGTAGCGCGTTCCCTCCCTCGCCAAGAGAGAAAAGTTGGTGATTCAGCCGTAGCCTTAGGTCCCCAACTGCTGAGTCACAGTTGCTGGGGCCTCTATTCAGGGCGTTGCGACTCCAAGAAGTCACGACCAAAAACCAACGCATAATGCCATTTTTCTGGTCTGAACCCTATGTTAAGGATATTCTTGCTGTATGCACAGGTAGTCGCGAAAGTTGTCGAATTGCGTAGTTGCGTTTGAAAGCCTTAACTATAACTGAGAAATTTCGCTCATTTTGTTTAAGTTCCTGCAAATATGAGTTTGAGTAAAGAATGCAGATATCAATCAAATGACTTTTGTCACTCGAACACATTTCGAGTAGATAAATGGCGTCCAAAATTAGTGTCATCTTCCAATTCTCCTCTCGCAACGGCGAATATTCTTCCATCTTTTCAAAAAAATCGAGAATTTGGTCTTGAAAAGAATACGAATATCGAAACTCATTTTATGGAACTCAAAATTGATAGTGCAAGGTCTGACTATTCAGCCACATATATTGGAGACGAAGGATGGTCGGGAACAGACTTGGATGCACGCAGCTCAATAAGCGATGTACATTTTCTGAAAGGAGACTCCGAAGTCTTCTATGCAGCATGGCATACATATAGTGATTCAAAATATACTAATTACGTTGGCGATATTCGCCATTTTCTTTCTCCACCACCAGAATTTTATGGAATTAGGCCAATAGGCTTAAAACCGGCTGCTTTTCAAGTAGTTGACATCTGCGAATCATTTACCCCTCCAAAAAGTATACTTGTGGTAGGGAATTGTCCTACATCGAGTACTGGAGTGATGATAATCGTAACACCTGAATATGAAATCTTTATCATCCGGAAATCTTGCCGTACAAGTCATCGGTCGCCGATATGGAGTTGTGCTTCTAGCGAAGAATCGCGCATGTATGCTTGTGGTAGACAAGATTTTATAAATATGTTAGATATGGGAAGTGATAAAAAATATAAACTGAGAATACCTGGACGTGTGCATTCACTTAAATTTGACAAAACTGGGGATCTTCTTTACGCTGGCACTAGCGATGGTAACTTTACTGTTCTGGATCGTCGAATAGGAATTGTTTCTTCAGATAAATATTTTGATGAAGGAATTGACGAAACAAAGTTTCTAGATGATGACCAGACTGTGATATTTAGTGGTATGAAAGGCAGGCTTTGTAAAGTAAGTGAATTTTTTTTTTTTTTTCAAATTCATCAAATGCCATGTTTCCAGTAAAACTGAAATTAGTTTATTTGTCGCGTTTGATTTTTTCGTTTCAAGTTGTACTTGCTTGAGAAATTACTTTAAAATGTAAGGAATTTATGTTAGAAATGTTAAATAGTTAAAATGAGTGTGGCTTAAATAATAAGCCCAGTTTAAAGTACTTGGCAAATATTCCAAGTCTAAATAAAGTACAAAGGCTTGGAATTTTTTAAAATAAAGTCAGTGCAACACGAGAATCACACATTAAGAATTGTTCATTTTACTCAGGAATTCTTGAATGTTTGCCTAAACTGTGTGAATTTGCATTTATGTGGATTTTGTTCAAGTTTATTTAAAAATTTACTGGTGAGGTGAGTAGTAGGGGAGAAAAGTAGAAATAGCCAATAATAGCATAAAAAACATATTTCCAATGTATAATTCCAAAACATACTGTATACCTAGAATTTTTTCCATCTAATATACTACTGTGATTGTTTGGACACATTTCAAAATGTGCATATTGTTCATAATTTTACTTCGAATTGGGAAATATTTTTGGGAAAGTATCCTTTATACATATGTAATATACTTGGATGTAGAAGCATAGAACATAGAATGTGAAATCCATGAACATCAGACTTGGCAACCGAGGCAGATTAAAATATTTATCATTTATTTCAGTTGACATCTGCAGCCACAACTTACTTGGTACTCTAATCATGCTTATTCAAGAATATTTACATTTTTGATACTCTTGCTCTGCTTTATTCCACTCTAGTGTAGAATTGGGTGCCCCTTGGATTAGTGTTAAATTTTGGCGATGAAACCTCATTTTTGGTTACCATGATAGTTTTAACTTCGTTTTAGCTTCCTGATTGAAGTGAAAATAGATTAATGTGTATATGGACAAATGCAATTCTCTGGTGTTTTTTAAGTGAAAATAGATCAATGTGTACATGAACACAGAGTTTGTGCAATTCTTTGACTTATTATTATTATTATTATTTTTTTTTGTAGTGGGCCTTAAAATTGTGCCTTCATTGTGGCAATCCTGGCGTCAAAAAAGGATCGCCAAAAAACAAGGGGCAGCCAATTGTAAACTTTTACCCTTTCATTTTATATGTCTATATAGAACTTCTTATATGTAGAACAGTGATAGAAGCAAAGGTATGCAGTATATTTGACAAAGGTGCCCAATATGTAAATTCATGTATATCTTTGAAAATTTTGAATAAAAAAACGGTTGATCTTTGGATTATGATAACTTGGCGATTTTTTGGCGAAAATTTGGCAACCAACTCTGCTACAGCAACCCTCTATTTTTTTTTTTGCGGCCATTTTGTCTTTACGAAGTAAAAACAGGTTTCTTTTCTTTTTACTTCCTGAACATATTTTCCAACAATCTGCTAGCCAAATTACGCTTATGCTAGAAATTTTTTGGATCAAAAGTGCTTAATCATGACGAATATTAACTGCAAAATTGGGAGAACATGCAGAATCGCAAACTCCTTGCCGCGTTTTTCAGATAGCACATACACATAAACCATTTACATGTCGACGTATTTTTACTTAAAAAACATCCCAGAATTGCACAAAATGGCATTGCGCACACTCGTAACTTTTAGCCTCTACACTGCTATTTTTCTTATAAATTACAAAAATTTGCACGAAAATGCAAAAAAATTCTGTGAATCTTTAACGTAAAAAGCACATATAGAAATACCTGATCGCGAAAAAGTATATACCCTTCCAAGATGAACATTCCCATAAAATAAATAAATATCCAAAAACTTTACCTCTAAATTATCTATTATATTATAACGTCGCCAATGAATTCATACCTCAAACATTACAAATGGTTACAAATACTTAGTGTCCATATTTAAATTATTTCCATGCACGTTTACTTCCACTGAATGTATACCAAATTCCTACCAAACATATAATTAACAAAATAACTATCATTTATTAATAATATTAAATTCAAAACACTACTCAATATAAATAAGCCATACATTAAATTAAAAAAGCTTACAATCCTAATTACTTTAAACTAAATCATTGCTAATAACATTTTCCAATAATACCAAATTCCTTTATTTCTTTCCTTACATTAAACAATGCATAAAAATATATCCTCAAAAATTAAAATACTAACTTCCTAATTTTCTTCAGAATCTTGGTTACGGCCGCTAACTTTCTTATTTCCTCGCTAAATAAAAGCAACATATGTGCGCCTGTTTCAGATCTTTAAAATCATACTTATAGTTCACAGCAAAGTACCAGGTAAAATAAATAACAATAAAATATCTTTGGCTGATCTTTAGAATATGGTAACTGGTAGTTTGGCGACATTTTGGAGGTGATAAAGGTTACCTAGGACTTTGGTAATAATGTGAGCAGTACTCAGTTCCGATTACGCATTATTTTGTGTGAGGGAAATGAGAGATCATGAGAAATGTCATGTGATGTTAATGGACGAATTACAGTTCTTTAATCGGAAAAGGGGGGAAAATTTGGAAAAATATCTGTGGCAGTATATTATTTTGTATTAAGCTTCATTGTGTGTTGTGTGAAATAGTGTTGATTAATTTTCGGATTGTATGGTGCTGTCTAAAGTGAATTCTAGATTTTTAATGCGTTTATCTGATAATTCAAAAGAATTGTTGAATGGTGCATGAGTGTAGGTTTAATTGCGGATACGAATATGAATGTCCAAAATGTGGGAATGAAATGAGATTGTGTGAAAGGAAGGATATTACTGATAAGTTTGAATGGCGGTGCAAGAAATCTGGTGAAAATGGATATTTTGTGAAACGGAGTGTAAGGAAGGGTACGTGGTTTGCTGAAAGTCGTTTGAGTATGGGTGAAATTTTATTGATTTCTTATTATTGGGTGAATAGATTGCCAGTTGACTACTGGATTTCGGATTTAGAAATTACCAGTAGTACTGCAGCTGATTGGAATTCTTTTTGTAGGGAAGTGTGCGTGGGAATTTTGCGAAAATGATATGGGTATGCTTAGTGGTATGAATGTTTGTGGAATATTGATGACAGTAATTTGGGAAGCGGAAGTATCATAGAGGTAGAAGAGTGGAAGGAAAATGGGTGTTTGGTGGGGTTGAAAGGGGTGGTAATAAGTGTTTTTTTTTAAGGTTGTGCGAGATAGAAGTAAAGATTGTTTATTAAGTTTTATTAAAGAATATATTCTACTGGGTACTATAATTATTTCTGATTGCTGGAAATCATACGAATGTTTGGAGGATGAAGGTTTTAAACATCTTGCTGTGAACCATAAAAATTATTTTAAAGATCCTGAAACAGGTGCACATACCAGTTTCAAGGGCACGTGTAGTGCTATAAAAAGCGCCATTCCGTAGCATTGTGATAAAGAGAATTTTGCTTTTTTTTAGCAAAGGAAGTGTAGAGGAAAAATTCGCAGAAAAAATCTTTCAATAATTTTATTGAATCCATTATAAAAGTGTATCCACCACGTAAGCAAAATTCTGAAGAAGATTAGGTAAGTTAGTATTTTTAATTATTGAGATATTATTTTTATGCATTGTTCTAAATGTAAGAGTGAAATAAAGGAATTTGGTATTATTGGAAATCGTTATTAGCAATGATTTAGTTTAAAGTAATTAGGATTGTAAGCTAATTTTTATTAATTTAATGTATGTGCTTATTATATTTTAAGTAGTGTTTTTGAATTTAATTATATTTTAATTAAATGATAGTTATTTTGTGAATTATATGTTTGTAGGAATTTGGTATACGTTTAGTGGAAGTAAACGTGCATGGAAATATTTAAATATTTGACACTAAGTATTTTGTAACCATTTGTAGTTTTGAGGTATGAATTCGTTGGCGACGTTTGTAATATAATAGATAATTTAGAGGTAAAAGTTTTTTGGATATTTTATTTATTTTATACGTGGAAATGTTCATCCTTGGAAAGGGTATAATACTTTTTCACGATCAGGTAATTTCATATATGTGCTTTTTACCGAGTTTAAAGATTCACAAAATTTTTTTTTGCATTTTCGTGAAATTTTCTAATTTATGAGAAAAAACAGTGTACATGGATAAAGTTAAGAGTGTGCGCAATGCCATTTTTGTGCAATTCTGGGATGTTTTTTTAAGTAAAAATAAGTCGACATGTAGATGGTTTAGTGATATTTTAATTAAATGACAGTTATTTTGTGAATTTTGTTTGTAGGAAATTGGTATACGCTTCAGTTGAAGTAAACGTGCATGGAAATAATTTAAATATTTGACACTAAGTATTTGTAATGTTTGCGGTATGAATTTGTTGGTGACGTTTATAATATAATAGGTAATTTAGAGGTAAGTTTTTAGATATTTTATTTATTTTATTCATGGAAATGTTCATATTTGGAAAGGGTATATACTTTTTCACAATTAGGTAATTTCATATATGTTCTTTTTACCGGGTTTAAAGATTCAGAAAATTGTCATGCATTTTCGTGAAATTTTTCTTATTTATGAGAAAAAGGCAGTGTACATGGATATAGTGAAGAGTGTGCGCAATGCCATTTTTGTGCAATTCTGGGATGTTTTTTTAAGTAAAAATAAGTCGACGTGTACGTGGTTTATGTGTATGTGCTATTCTGAAAAATGCGCCAGGAGTTTGCGATTGTGCACTTTTTCCCAATTTTGCAGTGAATATTTATCATGATTAAGCAGTTTTGTTACATAAAATTTCTAGCATAAGTGTAATTCGGCTAGTAGATTGTTGGAAAAAGTGTTCAGTAAAGAAAAGAAACGTGTCTTTACTTAGTGAAGACAAAATGGCGGCAAAAAAAAAAAAAAAAGAGGGTTGCTGTAGCAGAGTTGGTCGCCAAAAAATCGCCAAGTTACCATAATCCAAAGATCAACCACATCTTTACTTCTATCTCGCATAACCTTAAAAAAACACTTATTACTACCCCTTTCAATCCCACTAAATACCCATTTCGA